TGATGCTAGGCAATCAATCTAGCAACTAAGCTACAGCCAGCCTCAGGTCTTTTAAAAAAATTTTATGAGACAAGGTTTCACAATGTAGCCCAGGTTGGCCTGGAGCTCACTATGTAGCTCAAGCTGGTCTCAGATTCCCAGCAATCCTTCTGATGGTGTGAGCCTGTAATCCTAGCACTTGGAAAGTTGAGGCAGGAGAATCAAGAGTTGGAAGCCAAACTGGGCTAAATAGTGAGACACTGTCCCAAAATATTTTTTTTGAAGGGGACTGGGAATATTAACTCAGCAGTAGAGCACTAGCCTACCAGGTATGAGACCCTGGGTTCATTTCCCAGTGCAGAAAAAAAAAAAAAAAAAAAAAAAAAAAAAAGCGCGAAAAAGAAAAAAAAAAAAGAAAAGGGGGAAAAGAAATTGCGCACAAAAAGAAAAAAAAAAAAAAAAAAAAAAAAAAAAAAAGGCTGCTGAATCGAAGAAAATACAGGAATATGGGGAAAGGATATTGCTGCCAACTGAATTAAAGAAAAACCTGGTGCAGGAAAAAAAAAATTAAAAGAGCAGGAGTCCATGGCAAGAGATCAAGACTGAAAAGAGCAAGGAGAGGAGGATGAAGATGATGAATAAGTTGGTTCTAGCAGGATTTTTTCAAAACCCTTTTTTTGCCGGGCGTGGTGAAGCATGCCTTTACTCCCAGCACTCGGGAGGCAGAGGTAGGCAGATCCCTGTGAGTTTGAGGCCAGTCTGGTCTACATAGTGAATTCCAGGTCAGCTGGGGCTACAGGGAGACCCCATCTCAAAAAAGACAAGAAAAAAAAAAAAAACTTGTCTAAAAGTATCTCCCCTGCCCCAAACAACCACTCTTTTTTTCTCCCAGTGTTCTGTAGACTGAGTCTCACTCTATAGTCTAGGATGGCCTAGAACTTCCTTTATAGACCAAGCTGGACTTGAACTCATGTCAGTCCTTCTGAAGTCTTGAATTCAGCTGAGAACTGACTGTATAGGCATAAGCCACCATGCCTGGAAACAACTCATTCCATCTAAAGAAAAAAATTGCTGGAGCTGGGGAGATGGCTTAGCAGTTAAGAGTACTGGCTGTTCTTACAGAGGACCTTGGTTTGATTCCTAGCACCCACATGGTGGCTAATGCCCTCTTCTGATCTCCGAAGGCATTGCACAACATGGGTGCAGTTAATACACATGCAGGCAATACACTCATACACATAAAATAAAATAGTAAATAAGAAATTGAAATGCAAGCCCGTGTAAGGTTGTTTGTTTTTGTTTTAGAGCCGGGGTCTTGCTATGTAGTCCAGGCTGACTTCAAACTCACTGTTCTCCTGCCTAAGCCTCTCAGGTGCTGGGATTACACATGTGTGCCACATTACCAGGCTTTGAAGTAGCTTCTTATTGATGTACAGCACAAATTAGTGTTATGTGGGGACAATACTTCTTTCATCTCAGTAGTCTCTGAAGGAGTTATATGAAATAATTTTGCTAACTAAATATTACCCTGCAATTGCAAAAACCACAGCTGCTATTTTGTTGACATTCTGAATACTTCTAAGTAAATATATTTTATGTCAAAAAATCAAGTTGCTGAACAGAGCATTCAATGTGAAATATTTTATACAAAGGCTTTAAGTGTTCCCAACAATCTACTCATTGTTCATAGATTTCACATATGTCATAAAAGCCTGGAGGCACTGTGATTTCCAACCACATCCTTCCTGAGGGTTGCCTGTGCAGAATCCAGGGAAGGCCTTCTGGCTCTGGATGCCCAGATTGGCCAATGCACTGTGAGATTTGGAAACCTTCCCCAAGGAGAAGACACCTTCCCTCCACCCCCAGTCAAGCCATGTTTCACTAGGGATTAACCACATGGAGAAGTAGTTAGGATGGGCACTGAAGCTGGGCAGGGGCCCAGGAACTTGCTTGGGGGTCCCACTAAAGAGCATGTGAGGGCTTCCAGGTGATCACTCACATCTTTACATCTTTTTCTTTTCTTTCTTTCCTTTTTTTTTTTTTTTTGATATAAGTTCTCACTATGTAGCCTTGGCTATGTAGAACAGGCTGGCCTCAAATTTACAGAGAGCCACCTGCCTCTGCCTCCTGAGCGCTAGAGTTAAAGGCATGTGCCTCCGTACTCAGCCAATCCTTCACATATTATCTAGATAGGTCTCTACCTCTTCAGGACCACCCTGGGGACGCTTTGCCCCTACAGCCCATCTTCCTCTGGAAAGGAAGAGGGTTAGGGCTTGAGAGGCTCCAATTGTGGGGTGGCTCACAGCTGGGTCCAGAACTTGGGACTGTATTCAAATATCCAAAGAATCTTAGCACTTGGGGGGCTAGAGAGATGGCTCAGTGGTTAAGAGTACCAGCTGTTCTTCCAGAGGACCAGGGTTTGATTCCCAGCACCCAGTCTGGACTACATAGAAAGACTCCATCTTAAAAAAAAAAAAAAAATCCAGGGCTGGAGGGATGACTCGGCAGTTAAGAACACTGACTGCTCTTGCAGAGGACTTGCATTTGGCTCCCAGCACACACACATGGTGGCTAACAACCATCTGTGCCTCCAGTTCCAGAGGATTCAACACCCTCTTCTAGTCTCTCTGGGCACTGCATGCATGGGTGCACTTATATACATGCAGGTAAAACACTCATACACATTAAATAAAAATAAATAACAATCCAAAGAGTATCTGGGACTCAGAAACAGACAAGCCGGAGCGAGGGTCTGCATCCACTGACAATTGACTTCACCTCTCCCCACTGGGTTCCTTGCCTATGACTGGAATGACCTCATAGGTTTGTCCCAATGGTGGAAAACAATGTAGCATACAGGTGAGTCATCAAATGCAGGTCTTCACCCTCATTGAATTCTTACACTCCTGCAAGTTAGGAACTGTTGTACCTATTTACAGGTGAGGAAACTGAGGGCCAAAGGGATTAATCAGCTGAATGGCACAGGCACACGCACGCGCGCGCGCGCACACACACACACACACACACACACACACCTGCCAGTGGCCAAACTGGAGTTAGAACTGAAACCATGTGATGTCAGCACTTGTGAACCAAGCTCCTTTGCGCTATTGTTTTATTGGTTTGCTTCTAGTTTATAGGTCTACACCCCCTCCCACCTCCTGGGTGTGCTGTGAGCCTCCCAGGAGGAGAGTCATGGCTTTCTCTTCTTCAGATGAGCTCAGCCCCTGGCTGAGGGGAGGGGCTCAGCCAAGGTGGACTGAGTGTGGTATGCTGGGTCGGATCTAAGTGACTGGGAACTCTGAGTTTAATTTTCCAAGGGGTCAGGTGCACTACCAAGAAGAGGGTAAGGTGTCTTTAGCTCTCCAAAGCCTATTGTGGCCTATGGGTGCTGTGGGGCCAAATGATATCCTTGCAAGGCCAAGTAGCTCTTTAGCTCCCTTGCAAAGACTTGCCCTCTCCACTTCCTGCTGGCAGGAAGCCATGTCCCAGTCCTAAGACCCAGGAGTCCCAGCCCCTGAAACACTTCTCCAAGGAGTCCTTGTGTCCTTTTTCCCATAAGCTGAGTCCCAACTTCACCCTTCCTTCTATTTTTCTAGATACCAGGTAACTAGGCCCCCAAACTCCCAAGACTCAGGAGTCCTGCCCCTCAGCTAGTCATGAACAGATCTAGATAATACTAGTCAGCTGGGAAAGCTGATTATGGGGCCGGGGATGCAGCTCAGTGGTAGAGCTCTTTTGTAGCATGTGGAGGCTCTGGGTTCAATCCCCAGTGTATCTCTCAGAGCCTCTCTCTCTCTCTCTCTGTCTCTCTCTGAAACACAGGAACACACACACTCAGCTAATTATATATAAATATATACAATATATAATGTGATATATATATATATACTTTTCTACTTCACACTCAGTTGATGTCCTGGCAATAGTTTCAAATCACCTAGGAGGGAGTATTTGTACCACAGAAATTAGCAAATGCAATAAGTTGGGGCTTTTGTTTTCCCCATAAAGCCTGTTATTAAATATCTGCCAGCATACCACTTTCCCAGACCTCTGTCCTGTTCATTGTATCAGGGATTCCTTTCCTGTGTCCCAAGCAGCCTTGGTGCTTGAGGAGAATCATGACAAGCCACAGGGCCATGGCTTGGGTCCCACTTCGTGGGCTGGTCCCAGGTCTCTTGCCTTGGAGCCTCTCCTTCCATACCACAGCCACTAACATGGAACATGGGGCTCAACTCTGCAGAACACAGGAATCAAGAACTCCACATTTGGAACCACATGGACTCAAGGTGTGCTTAGAGGCAAGCCACCTTAATTGCCTGGGCAGCACTGTCTTGTCTGCAACATAGAATGATTAAAGAATAAGATGCCAGGACTAGGGAAGTAGTCAGTTGGTAGAGTGCTTGCCTGTCATGCACCAGGCCTGGGTTCAGTATAAACAGGTGCACCAGCACAGCATAACAATGTATGGTGACCCAAGTCTGACATCCTAGCACTCGAGGTGGAGCCAGGAGGATCAGAAGTTCAAGGTCATCCTCTGTTACATAGTGAGTTTGAGGCCAGCCTGTGATACATGAGACTCTCCCCTCACCCTTCACCCCAAATATACTAATATTACACTTTAACCATCCACAGCCAATTTTTCCCCACGGGTCCCCAGACAAAGCAGGTGATCTCCCTGAACCTCAGCTTGCTCCTCTGTGAAATGGAATGTTACAGCTGCTGCTTCCTTAGGTTGTCATAAAGGTACACAAGTTGTTCTTATAAAAGAGTTTACTTCCCGGAGGGTTTAACATGTTATCATTATTAATAATTTCCTATCCCACAGGGCAGTCATGAAGAGTAAGAAACTGACCTCTATGTTCAGTCAATGGTCTGCATACAGTAGGTGCTCAATTAATGCTCCCAGTGGGAGCAAGATGGGCCAGTGCCTCTAAGAGGGTGGAGGCCACTTTCCTTTGACCTAGCCATTCCCACCACCAGGGGCTCTCCCGGTCCCTCCCTCAGCACCGCCCTCTCACCTGTACAAGCCGTGCACCTGGCACCGCCTCCGGAAGAGAGCACCGGGGATCGGGGGACCTCGGAGGGAGCCGAGGGAGCCCGGTGGCGACAGGTGAGAGCCTAGGGGCCTCCGAGGACGGGATACCCGGGGCATGGTTGGGGAAGACCGCGTCGGCGTGGGAGGATGAGGGAGGTCAGGGGTGGCCTCGAGGGACTCCGGGAGGAAGGACTCCGAGGGAACCGGGATACTGACGGGACAGAAAACTGTGGGAGGCATTTGATTCCTGAGGTTGACGTCCCGGGAACCCGGGGCCTGGCTCTGGGGCTGCTGGACTCGGACTTCCGTAACACCTGGGATCTGCGGGCGGAGCTGTGCTTGACACCTGGCGAAGGAAGGGGGGCAGATGCGCGCGCAAGGTGTGCAGGGGGCGGGATCCTCCCCTCCCCGGGTTGGCTTGGAGAAGCTGAGATGCCAGGCCTTCCCTCCCGAGCCCCTGCGCCCCTGTCCCTGGGCGGCCCTCGAAGCTCAGGGCTAGGATTCCCAGGGGCGGGCCGGGAAGTAAACAGAAACCCGCAGTGGCGGCGCACTGGCCTGCACAACCTGTTGCCGCGCCCTATCCTGGGCCCAATGCCAGGGAAACCGGGGGTCTGGGGGCAAGGGCTCTGATTCTGGAGGTGGGAGGCAAGAATGTTTGGGTCTGGGGGCGAGGGTTCTGAGTCCGGAGGTGTGCAGGCAAGAATGTCTGGGTCTTGCTAAAGACCTGGGAGACTGCGCTAGGAATCCAGGCTGGAGGGACACTAGGGACGGCAACCTAGTCTGGCAAGGCTAAAACAAGTGTAAAGCACCTGTGTCCTGAGACTAAGTGGGCCAGGATACGGGAAGGTAAAGGGCTGGGGATCTGGCTTTCTGGAAGGGGAGGGAGCTGGATTCCCGCGGCAAAGGGGTCAGGACACCTAGGTTCCCAAAGGTGAGAGCCCTGAGTTCTAGGGAGAAACAGCTGGTTTTATACTTGCATGCTGAGCCCGTGCGAACCGAAGTTCTGGGATTGGTGCCCAGATAGTGAAGCGCTGGAAGTCAAATGGCCCACTTTGGAAAGAGCAACAGGGACTATCAGTGGGGTGGCCTGTGTCACCAAACTGCTGGGACAAAGCTTCCTAGAGGCAGATACTGTGTGGCAGAGGCGGAAGGCAAGGCGGCTGATTTCAGTCTGCTTCCTGCCTCAGTCTACCCTGGGGATATTAACGGAGCTGGGTGGCCAACATGGATCATTAACCCTCGGTATCCTAGGAAGCCCTGGCTGCGAGATTGGAAGGCACAGGTGAAGTTCACCAGCAGGGGGCGAGCTTTGGGGCTGTCGCCGGGTAACACGTCCCCCAACGACCTGACCTCACAGATGCTGCATGTGCCATGAGTTCCCCAGGTGGGCCAGGCTTCCCCTCTGGGCTGCTCTCAGGGGGCACCTCTCCTAGTGGAGACGAAGGCTTCTTCCCCTTTGTGCTGGAGAGGCGGGACTCATTTTTGGGAGGAGGCCCAGGGCCAGAAGAGCCGGAGGACCTGGCCCTGCAGCTGCAGCAGAAGGAGAAGGACCTGCTACTGGCCGCAGAACTCGGCAAGATGCTTCTCGAACGCAACGAGGAGCTGCGGAGACAGCTAGAGACGCTGAGCACCCAGCACTTGGAGCACGAAGAAGTGAGCTGGCCCCCAGGGCAAACAGAGGGCAGGCAGGGCTGGGGTGGACAGGGCTGGGAGCCAGGCAAGGAGAGGAGAGGGGAACATGGAGGTGGCCAGGAGAACAGGAGGGCAGAGTGATGCCTCTGAAACAGTTCTGGGCAAGGAAACCAGGGATAGTGCAAGCCTTTAGTGTCAGCACTCTGGAGGCTGAAATAGGAGGGTCTTCCGTTTGAGGCCACCCTAGGCTACATAACAAGACCTTGTTTCAAGAGCAAAGGAAAGCATACACACACTACACACACACAGACATGCACACATGCATATAATTTTTAAGATTTTTTAAAAAATGTATTTTATGTGTATGAGAGTTTTGCCTGTGCACATGTAAGTGCACCATATGTGTGCAAGGCCCAAGGAAGCCAGAAGCAGGCATTAGATCCCCTGGAACTGGAGTTACAGATTGTTGTTAGCTACCGTGTGGGTGCTGGCAACTGAACCTGGATCCTCTGCAAGAGGAACCAGTGTTTTTTTTTTGTTTTGTTTTGTTTTTGCTTTTTTTACATTTTATTCCCTTTTCCCCTTTCCAACTCTACAAACCCTTGCCCCTAATATCTCAAACAACAGTCATAATAAGCAAACCCGGTATTTGGTTTTATTTATTTTTTTGGTCTTTTTGAGACAGGGTCTCCTTGTAGCCCCAGCTGACCTGGAACTATGTAGACCAGGCTGGCCTTGAACTAACAGAGATCCGCCTGCCTCTGCCTCTGCCTCTGCCTCCTGAGTGCTGGGACTACAGGTGTTGTGCCACCACGCCCGGCTAAATTTTTTTTTTTTTGTCTTTTTGAGACAGGGTCTCCTTGTAGCCCCAGCTGTCCTGGAACTCACTATGTAGACCAGGCTGCCCTTGAACTCACAAAGATCCACCTTCCTCTGCCTCCCAAGCGCTGGGAAAAAATTAAATCTAAAGAAAAAGTGGGATGAGGATGTAATTCAATCTGTAGAATGCTTGCCTAACATATGCAAAGCCCTGAGTTTGATCCCCAGCACCACATAAAACCAGGAATAGTGGGCCTTCCTGTAATCCCAGCACTTGGGAAGTAGAGGCAGGAGATCAGAAGTTCAAGGTCATGCTTGGTTACCTATTGAGTTTGAATCCAACTTGAGCTACATGTAACCCTCAAAAGAAAGAATTAAAAAATAGTTCTAAGCCGGGCATGGTGCCGCACGCCTGTAGTCCCAGCACTTGGGAGGTAGAGGCAGGCGGATCTCTGTGAGTTCAAGGCCAGCCTGGTCTACATAGTGAGTTCCAGGACAGCTGGGGCCACAGGGAGACCCTGCTTCAAAAAGACCGAAAAAAAAAAAAATAGTTCTAGACTGGAGGTATAAGTAAAATCCTGTGTTCAAGCCCCAACACTGCAATCAATCAATCAATCAATCAATCAATCAATCAATCAATCATTAATCCCAGCACTCTGGAAGCAGAAGCAGGTGGAATTCTGTGAGACTGAGGCCAGCCTGGTCTACATAGCAAATTCTAGGCTACAGGGAGACCCTGTCTCAAAACAACAACAAAATCAATCAATAATCAGTCACTCAATAAATAATCTAAGGACAAGTCAAGACCTGGGTTCAGATCCCTGCCTGGCTGTGTGACCTTAGGTAAGCTGTGGCCCTCTCTAGATCTAGAGTCTAGCTCATGAACAGTAGTCCCAGCCACTGGAGCTACTGCCAGCTTGAACCTAGCTAAGTGCTCCCTGTATGTCATCTCTATTGATTCTTATTTGTTTATTTTTGTTTTTGAGACAGGGTCTCACTATATAGCATTGGCTAGCCTGGAACTTGCCATGTAGAATAGGTTAGCCTTGAACTAATATTCACCTGCGTCTGTTCTTGAGTGCTGGGATTAAAGGTGTGCACCACCATACTCTGTTCATTCTTGCTCAATCCTGTGAAATAGGATCAGTTCTTTCCTCTGCCCAGGCTGTTGTCATCCTCATTCTCACCCTGGAGCTCATATCTGGACCTCTTGTACCCATGTTGTAGACCTGGACCCCTACTCTGAGCTGACCAGGTAGCCAACTGTTGTAAACCCTTTCCACCAGGCATCCTACCAGCACCTGCACATAAATAGTGCTGGATTCTCTGGGCACAGGTGCTCTCCACACACCTGTAAGCCTTGTTGAATCTTCTGTAACCGGGTTCCAAATCTGCTACCCCCAACCCCCAAATCCCATCCTGTCTGCAACCTCAGCACTGGTAGCAGCAGTCTCTACCTCAGGCTCTACAGGCACACACACACACACACACACACACACACACACACTGGCCTCAGCGTCTCTGTACTCTGACTCTAGTAGCCATGAATGTCAAAGAGTGCAATCAGATCGCTTTACTCCTGGCCCAGCAGCTTCCCAGGGCTTCCCACTCATTAGAATGAAACCAAAGCTCCAGAAGTCCAGAGAGCTGCTGGCCTCCCCTTTTCCATGACACCAACCCTCCTCTGATAGGGCCTTTTTCAGTTCCTCCAGTGACTCAAGCCTGATCCCTTAGGGCCTTTGCACTTGCTGTTCCTTTTTTTCCAGTCGGATTTTGCATATAGAACTGGCCTTGAATTCCCCATCCTGCAGCCTCAGCCTCCCAAAGGTTGAGATCCCAAATGTGTGCTGCCATTCCTGGTTTCACTTGTTCTGCAGTCTTCTTTCTGGTTGGCTTCTATTGTCCTGCAGGAGTCAATGCAAACATCAGCCCTTCCTTGAGGGAGCCTCCCCCGACCCTCACTCCTCCTCCTCCTCCTCCTCACTGTTCCTCACGTCCCTGAGTTTCTCCACAGCCCTCCCTGTCCCTCTGAAATTATCTGATTCAGGCAATTATCTGTTTGCCTGTGGCCCTCTAGACTAAGCAGCTGTGGTAGTGATCTTGTTGGTCATCCTTAACTCTTTATAGCTAGACCCTGGAATAAGAGGAGCTCAAGAAACATTGGAAGGTGTCGATGGATGGACATAGGGGTTGAAGGACAGAGGGGTAGGGCTTGAAGATGTTAAAGGGATTGTAGGTATTAAAAGAACTTGTCCAGGGGTAAAGAGATGGTTCATTGGTCAAGAGTGCTTACTATTTTTTTATTTATTATTTTTTAATTTTATGTGTATGAGTGTATTGCCTGTGCACCTGTGTTGTACAATGCCTGCAGAGGTCAGATGAGGGTGTCAGATTCCCCTGGCACTAGAGTTATGGACAACTTTTAGCTGCTATGTGGATGCTGGGATTTGAACCTGAGTCCTCTACAAGAACACCCAGTGCTCTTAATTGCTGAGCCATTTCTCCAGCCCCAAGAGTACTTACTAATCTTGCAGAGAACCTAGGTTCAGTTCTAGGGGATCTGATGCCTTCTTCTGGCCTCCATGGGCACTGAATTTATATGGTGCACATAAACTCACACAGGCACACTCACATACACTAAATAAAAATCTTTTTTTTTTTTTTTTTTTTTTTTGGTCTTTTTGAGACAGGGTCTCCCTGTAGCCCCAGCTGTCTTGGAACTCACTATGTAGACCAGTCTGGCCTTGAACTCTGCCTCCCAAGTGCTGGGATTAAAGGCATGTACCACCATGCCCAGCTAAATAAATCTTTTTAAAAGGGGAGTGGTGCTGGTGAGATGGCTCAGAGAGTAAAGGCACCTGCCACCAAGCCGACTACCTGAGTTCAAACCCTAGGTTCCACATTAGCGGGAATCAACTCCCTGATTGCCACACAATCCATAGCATGCACATATACACATACACAAACTGAATAAATAAATCAATGTATGTTAAATAACTTATTAAAAAGAAAAAAAAACAAAAGCCAGGCATGGTGGCACATGCCTTTAATCCCAGCACTTGGGAGGCAGAAGCAGGTGGATCTCTGTGAGTTCAAGACCAGCCTGGCCTACATAGGGAGCTCCAGGCCAGCTAAGGCTACAGGGAGACCCAGTCTCAAAAAGACAAAAAAAAAAAAAAAAATTAAAAAGAGGCTGGAGAGCTGGCTCAGCGGTTAAGAACACTGGTTGTTCTTGCAGAAGACCCGGGTTTGAATCCCAGCACCCACATGGCAGCTAACAACTGGTCCAACAGCCTCTTCTGACCTCCGAGGGCATTGTACAACATGGGTGCACTTACCTACATGCAGGCAATACATGCATACACATAAAATAAAAAAAACAAAAAAAATTTTTTTTTTTTTTTGTTCTTTTTGAGACAGGGTCTCCCTGCAGCCCCAGCTGGCCTATGTAGACAAGGCTGGCCTTGAATTCACAGAGATCCGCCTGCCTCTGCCTCCTAAGTGCTGTGACTACAGGCATGTGCCACCATGCCCAGCTAAAACAAAATTTTTTTTTTAATGTTTAAAAAAAAAAAAAAAGCTGGAGAGATGGTTCAATGGTTAAGAGCACTTGCTGCTCTTGCAGAGGACCTGGGTTCAGTTCCCAGTACCCACATGGAAGTTCACAACTGCCTGTAACTCCAGTCCAGGGGTTCTGACTCCTTCTTCTGACCTTCGTGGGCACCAGGTACTGGCCATGCACGTGGTACACACACATACATGCAGGCACTTGCAGATAAAATAAAATTTAAAAAAAACTTGTCCAAACCACATAGCAACAGCAGAAATGAGCACTGGCTAGGACAATGGGGCCCAAACCTTCCCGGGGCTGTGCTGCCCTGGCAGTATTTGAGAAAGAGTTTTGTTGTCAAGATTGCCAGCCCTGCTCCACTAGTTTACAGTGTCTTTGGTTGGACCTCACTTTTAACTTCTCTGAACCTGTTACCTCATCTGAGGATCTTAACGCTTCTCCCTCTCGTGGAGGAAATGAGGTAATACAGATAGAGCACTTGGCAGGAACACCTGCTGATTGTAGCAACCATGGTCCTGGTTACCTGGCCCAGTCCTTCCTGCTTTGAGGGTTCTGAGACAGTGCCCCCCCACCCCGGACACCTGTCTGTCTCCTCATGCTAGGCACCTGGGTGTGTCAAGCGTGTCCCCTCGCTGGTCGGACAGGTTTGGGGGAGGGCAGGTGGAGGGTGGGGCCATGGTGGTGGGAAGGCCCAGGATTAATTAGAGAGAGATGAGAAGAGGGGCTGGGCCAGACTGGCCTGCAGAGCCCCCAGGACACTGAGGCGGGTGAGGCCATGGGCCGGGGCTTAAATTCTACCAGACTCAGGCGCCAAAAACGACGCTTGAGACTTCGGGTCCAGAAGCCCAGGCAGCAGTCAGAAGTGAGTGGGCCTCAGAGCTGGGGTTTCCATCCCTGTCCAGTGTCTGACTAGAACCTTCTCTCTAGCTCACACACAATCTCCCTCCCCCCTTCCTGTTCTTTCTTGCTTTCATGTCTGCCCTAATTAGACAGGCTGAGCCCTCTCACAGATGCTTTCCATCCTGGTCTCCCGCGGTCTGCTCTGATCTACGTGGTTCCCTGTCTTTCTCTTCCCTACAGCGCCTGCAGCAGGAGAATCATGAGCTCCGCAGGGGCCTGGCAGCCCGAGGTGCAGAGTGGGAGGCCAGAACTGTGGAGCTGGAGGGAGACGTGGAGGCCCTGCGGGCACAGCTGGGAGAACAGCGATCAGAGCAGCAGGACAGTGGGCGAGAGAGGGCAAGAGCCCTCAGTGAACTCAGCGAGCAAAACCTCCGCCTCAGCCAGCAGCTAGCCCAGGTGGGATTGCCCTGGCACCAGGTGGGAGAAGTGGGAATTGACACACAGGTCCTCAGTAGGGGCAGGTGATATTGGGCCCAGAGCCAGGTCCTCAGTAGGGGCTGGCTTGACATTGGGCCCAGAGCCAGGGAATGACTCCACTGCCCATTCCCCCACCCCAGGCCTCCAGAACTGAGCAGGAACTACAGCGGGAGCTGGATACCCTTCGGGGGCAGTGCCAGTCACAGGCCCTGGCTGGAGCAGAGCTAAAGGCACAGCTAGAGAGTCTGCAGGCAGAGGTGAGTGTCAACTGGGGCTATCTAAAGTTGGTCCAGTACCCCTCCAACATCCCCCAACCCCCACACCCCAACCTGTGCTGTAGCTCTGATACCTGTCCCCAGAACCAGATGCTGCAGAGTCGCCGGCAAGACCTAGAGGCCCAGATTCATGGCCTACGTGAAGAGGTGGACAAGGGCCAGGGCAGGCTTCAGACCACCCATGAGGAGTTGTTACTGCTTCATCGGGAGAGGAAAGAGCAGAGTCTGGAGGTGAACCGAGGGGCTGGAGAGGGCAGCTAGTTTAGCCTTTGTGGCTGCTAAGCCACAAGAATATGAGCATTAGCCTGAGGGCAAGTCAGAGTCATGGAAAAGTATTGAGAAGGGGAAGCATACTCTTAAAATGCATCAGAGCCTGGCAGCTAGGAGGCCATGAAGAAAGCTGAGGCCAGGGCTGAGGCCAAAAATGCCTGGCCAGGACTAGGTCAGGGGCCATGGAAACGGTGAAAAAGGACAGCCTGAGCTCAGATGCTTTGGCATCTTGTTTTTTGTGTTTTAACCCTGGCTGACCTTGATCTGGCTATGTAGAACCAGGCTGGTCTTGAACTCAGAGATCCACCTCCTCTGCCTCCCAAGCACTTACCAGTGCTTAAAGGTGTGTGCCATCACATCTGGCTTTGGTTTGGCTTTTTCATTTTTTTTGTTGTTTATTCAGGACGTCCCTATAGCCCCAGCTGGCCTGGGACTCATTACGTACACCAGGCTGGCCTCAGTCTCACAGAGATTACCTGCCTCTGCCTCCCCAGTGCTAGGATTAAAGATGTGTGACACCATACTGGGCTAGTTTGTCTTATCTCTGTATCCCTTCTTACTATTGTAAGATGTTCAGCCTCAGTTTCCCCACATGTGAGATAGGATGGCAACACATACCTCAAAGGGCTATGGTGAGGGTACGAGGCATAGAAAGAAGAATCTAGATCAAAGCAAACTCTAGATCAAAGCAATTAGTTCAAATTAGAAGACTGGGCGGGAGAGGGGACGCACTCAGGTGACCTGATGGGGCAGGACCTGGGGGTGGGTGACGCCAGGCGTGCCGTTTTATAGGTGAGGAAATTGGTGTCTGTGGAAGGGAGGTGCATGCTCCAGGCTGCTCTGAGATCCAGGAGCAGTCCTAGTTCACACTTCCATCCAGGAGTGTGGAAGCACATGGCTGCTGGGCCCACTGTAGACTTCTAGATGACAGTTCGGTGTATCACCTGCAGCTAGAACAAGCTCGTTTTGAGGCTGGAGAGGCGCTGAGTGCACTGCGGAGACTGCAGCGGAGGGTCTCAGAACTGGAGGAGGAGTCGCGCCTCCAAGATGCAGAAGTATCAGGTGCCTCGTTGCAGACGGAGCTAGCCCACAGCCTCAAAGGCAACCAGGATGCCAATGAGTACAGAGATGCCCAGGTGAGCAAGCAGCCCACCAGCTCCCCCACTGGAGCCATCAGCTGGGGGGCAGGCCCTACTCCTTTTCCCTTGAGGTTCTGTGCAGCCCTGACCAATTCCTTTGACCTACAGACTATCCTGTCCCCAGTGACCCAAGAGTCATCTAGCCTCCAGTCTTCAATCCAGGAGGAAAGCTTGGAGCCCCCCAAGAAGCGAGCATCCCTGAGCCCAGTGGAGATACTGGAGGAAAAGGAGGCAGAAGTAGCCAGGCTACAGGATGAGGTGGGCAAGGGGCATGGTGCTGGATGAAGTCTGAAGTTGTCAATTCCCCATCTCTACTGTCTGGCCCACTAAGTTGGTATTTCTTCCTTAGTGAACTTGCACTCGTGCTTCCTCCAGGAAGCCTTCCAGGGCTGCACTCTCCTCCCAGTTTACTCCTAGGACTTTTCCCTGTATCTTTTTCATTGCAGACTTACCCACCTGACCTGTCTGTCCCATTGTAGTCTTGCTCTACTCCACCCCCACCGTCGTAGGGGACTCAGAAGTCTGGAACAGAGGCTTGCAGTGTTTGCCAAGCAGGCACAGAAGGATGGGAATGGGAGGGCAGGGCAGCCTACAAGGCACTTGTGCTGGTCTACCTCCTATTCCCTCTCTGGTCTGCAGATCGCCCTGCAGAGGACAGAGCTAGAGACTCTTCGGAATGAGCTGCAAAGGCAGAAGGAGCTGAGGGAGCAGGACAATCCTGAGGAAACCCTGAGCAACGCACTTTCCGACCGCAATGAGGCAGTGAACAAGTGAGCCTGGCATCCTAGACTACTGTCACAAGGGGGCAACAGGTCCCCCAGGGTAGGCTGGTCCTTCTGGACCTGATTCCCACGTCCATTACAAGAGCAAAATATTCTCCATCCAGACTGAGAGACTTCAAAGTCCAGGAGCCACCCGACCCCACCCAGGTTCCTTGAGCTCCCAGAACCCTCAGACCCATTCATTCTCCACCCCTCCTGCCCACAGGGCCCTGAAGCTGTCCTTGGAACTCAGCAGAGTTTCACTGGAGCGGGACTCCCTGTCCCGGGAGCTGCTGCGAGCCATCCGTCAGAAGGTGGCGCTGACACAGGAGCTAGAGGCTTGGCAGGTGAGAAGGCGGGTCCTGCCCAGGGAAGGTGGATCTGCAGGGCCTGTTATGACCCGTCCCTTCCACTCCACTTCCCACAGGACGACATGCAGGTGGTGATTGGACAGCAGCTGCGCTCCCAGCGTCAGAAAGAGCTAAGTGAAGCTGCTGCCACCGCACACCGAAACACTGCCCGCCGCAATGCTATCCGCTTTTCTCTGCGTCTGGGGTCAGGGCAAACTGGAGGCTTCCTCAGTAATCTCTTCCGAAGGACCTGAGGGCTGGGCTGTGGGGGCTACCTTTGCCCACTCTGAGGTTCACTTCCCTTTTAAGGGCCAATGGAGCCATGGGGCCTGAATGACTTCTAAGTCAGGCCAGTGTCCTCCTTGCCCCAGGAGGCTGGACAAGGGCTCTTTGGGAGCAGGGATCAGCTTTGGGGCACGGGCCCCAGGTGGGTGGCGGGGGCAGAGCTGTTTATTTTTCAAATCCAAATAGGTCTATCTTTTCTAAGCACCAGGCCCCTGTTCTATCCCACATGGATGGATGGGTATTTATGTAAGGCTCCAACAGAGTAATATATAAATCACTACACTTATTTGTTCTTCATTCTTAGGGAGGAAGTGCAAACAGAAAAAGCCTTAAACTATACTTTGGGAAAAAAAAATTTTTTAAGTGAGTGTGGTGGCTCAAAATTTGTAATCCCAGCATTCTAGAGTCTCAAAGAGGCCAAGCTGGGCCACACAGTGAGCTCCAGGCCAGCCTGAGCTAGTGTGAGACTGTGACTCATATTAAAAACAAAGGAAAAACCCACTTCTAACCCCTAAGATGGAAGGTCATCAATGTCAGAAGGACAGAGAGAAGGCTCTGTACCCCAGGTTGGTGAAGACATCCACTCGACAGCTGTTGCCTGCAGCAGTCAGGACCTAGAAGATGAAAAGGTCATGACTGATGTGTCCATCCCATAGGCCTCCTGAGACCCCATACCCCTTACATGACCCACCTTGCACTCTGGGGCTGCTGGCTGCTGGTTGAGGCTGAGGCTGAGCAGCCCTGGGGAAGAGCCAGGTACCTGAGCCTTGAGCTCCCCACTCAATTGCCAGTGGTTGACATAGCACCCCTGGCCAGCTGACAGGATCTGGAAAACAGGGAAGGGTGCAAGGGTCAGGACTGGAATGGTGCAGTGGACAGGGTAGCAGAATAGAGACAAAGGGCCTTACCAAGTCCTGGTAGAAGGTGACGTGCTTCTGTGGTGCCCGAATGGGGAAGACAGTGGTGGGCGTGGAAGATCGGAGGTGCCAGAGAGTGAGGGCTGGGCCCCCTCCACAGACCTGGACAGAAACATAGGGGGTCCCCAGTCACTATGAGCCATGGACTTTCATCTGCCACCCTACCCCATACTCTGCCCACCTCACCATCCAGTCTGAGTCAGTGGCCAAGCATCCAATCCAACGCCCATTGTGGGGCCTTGAGCACTCCTGGAAGGGAGGAAGGAAGAGATAAAGACAGTGGAAAACAGAACTGGGGGAACAAGGAGAAAGGTCATGCCCTCACCTCATGCTTATAGACTTCAATGGTTTGGACCTCTTTGGCTGTGCGGAGATCTGTGGGAAAAGTCACAATGGCTCTTGATAAGCCACACTGGCCTCAGTACCCCTCACCACTATCTCACCCTCTAATTAACCTTGTCCTTACCCCAAAGCCGCACAGCTCCATCCTCCCCACCAGATAGCACCTCAGGGCTTCGTTCCCGAAGTGCCAGGCAATGGATATAATCTGTGTGGCCCCGGAGGGCCCTCTGTAGGGAAAGGGGCATGCTCAGAAGGAGATCCAGAATGTACGCCCTGGCCCAGACTTGCCTTGGCTCCAGGCCCCTACTCACTGTGAAGGTCCCAGTTTCCAAGTCCATTGAGTGCAGCTGACAATCTCCCCCTGCTAGAATTAGGGAATTCTCCTAGGGAGGAAAGCAGGGCAGGAAGTTAGTATCAGCCTGGATAGGGAGAAAGTAAAGATTGATGTTTAGCCTAGAATGATCACAAAGAGCTCAGACCTTGGGGATGAGCAGCAAGGCATTTATCTCAGGTACTTCCAGGCTGGTCCTAGGAGGAAGAAAGGAGGGATCAGAATCCCAGAGGCGGGGTTCCCTGATCTTGCATACCCTCCAGTCACAAGTTCCTGGCTCACCTGTATGGAGGCTGACGACGCCACAGTTCCTTACAGCCCTTGTAGAGAAATACAGGAGAAAACACTGCATGAACCCAAAGGCTCTCTCTAAGCAGGGAAGGCTAACCCTTCCCCAGGCTCCAGGCTCCTTACCTTCTTGAGGATTTCTGCCCAAAGCCAGCCCTTCACCTCTCCGTCCCCAGCACTGAGCAGATGACGATCTGTGGAGACCATGCTGTAGACAGGCCCATCATGGGCTAAAGGGAAACAGAACCTCAGTGAGCCCACTGCACCCCCTTCTCCACCCTGAGGTCAGCTGAACCAAACTCAACAGCTATACCCACCATGGAAGGTCACCATGGGTTTCTTGCTTTCTTCTTTGGCCTCTGAACTCAAGGCAGCAGACAAACTGAAAGAGAGAGGTGGGGAGGGGCCAGGGGTCAGAGCATGGAACATCAGTCCCAGAAGGTGCAAGTGCCAGGGCTCAGGTATGGTGGGAATCAGAGTAGAGGGTACCTGAAGATGGCAATCTGCCCATAATTGTTGCCAGCTGCCAGGAACTTCCCACAGGGTGAGACGCTCTGGGAAAAGACAGTCATGTGCAGTTGCTGCAGGGCCTCAAACACTTCAGCCTGTGGGGAGAGGGTGGCTGAGGCCAGTCTCAGAGGTCTGGGACCTTCTCCCACAGACTTCTGCTTGCCTCCCCTGCCCAGACTTCTCAGTTCTATTTTGAGTTGGTCATCCCCACAGGTACCTCCCAATGCATGGGTAGCTCCAGAAAGAGGGTAAGAGAGAATTAGGGCACAGTCCCGAGAACTTTGAACAAGCACCAAGCCTCTCCTATCAACTAAACAGATAGACGGCACTTATAGGAAGGTCTGCCATGATTGGGTAAATTAATGTAGATTAAGAGCTTTGCAGCAAGGTGTGGTAGTGGCACAACTATAATCCCAGCACTTTCAAGTTAGAGGTGGAAAGATCAGGAGTTCAAAGTCAGCCTGGGCTACATCAGTCTCTTTGTCTGTCTGTCTGTCTGTCTCTCTGTCATGCACTCTCACACACAGAGGAGCTGGGAATGTAACTGAATTGGTAAAGTGCTTGATTAGCATGCACCAAGCCTTAGGTTTGATCTCCAGCACTACACACGGGATAAACCACCGGTTATGACACACACCTGTAGCTTGTGATCCTAGCACTGAGATGGAGGCAGAAGGTACAGAAGTTCAAGGTTATCCCCCACTAAATGACAGGTTCCAGGCCAGACTGAGATATATTAGACCCTGTCTCAAAAAAAAAATAAGCGGTTCATGGTGTAGCTCAATGACAGAGCATGTTCTTTGTTGTTGTTGTTAAGATTTATTTCTATTGCCGGGCATGGTGGCACACACCTTTAAGCCCAGCACTCTGTGAGTTCAAGGCCAGCCTGGTCTACATAGTGAGTTCCAGGCCAGCTGGGGCTACAGGGAGACCCAGGCTCAAAAAGACCGAAAAAATAAAAAAAATTATTTCTATTATCTTTAATTATCTGTATGGGTAGGTGTGTATGAGTATAGGCATCTGACGAGGCCATAGGTGATAGATTCACTGGAATTGGAGCTACAGGTGGTTGTGAGCCACCTCACTTGGGTGCTGGAAATCAAACCCAGGTCTTCTGCAAGAGCAGTACAGGTTCTTCTGGCTGAGCCATCTCTCCAGGTCCTAGAGCTCATTCTTACTCAAGGCCCTGCGTTCCATCACCAGCACTGCATAAATCAGGCATTTTAGCACACCACCATAACCTGTAATCCCAGCACTCAGAAGTGGAGGCAGGAGAAACACAAGTCGCCCTCCTCTACACAACAAGTTTGAAACAAGTCTGGGATATACAAGACAATGTTTCAAAAATAAGTGCTTTTAGCCAGGTGTGGTGGCACAGGCCTCTAATCCCAGCACTTGGGAGGCAGAGGCTGGCAGATCTTTGTGAGTTCAAGACCAGCATCATGGTCTACACAGTGCGTTCCAGACCAGCTGGGGCTACAATGAGACCCTGTGTCAAAAAGACCAAAAAACAATGACAGGGCATGTTCTTATCACGCCCAGGTCACACCCAAGGCCCTGGATTCGATCCCCAGCACCGAAAAAAAAAAAAAAAAAAAAGCTCATTAAATTATTATGTATTAACTTCTTTTTAAAAGTGGGTCTATTATCCCATACAAAAAAAAAATGTATTGATTTTGTATGCTCTGACTTTCTCTGAGCATATATCCTCGGACTTTCACATTAGACCCCAAGGTTCTAAGAGATTATTTTCTCTGGGGTCAGAGTCCGAGTCCCACATACCAACCACGCACATCAGGTCCACTAGAACATTCCTTGTCCATCGATCAGTGTTCTACTACAAACCCCAGAAGGCACTGTGAATGCCACGCACCGGATCCAGAGGCAGGGCTAGCGGCGTAGCGGGTTCCATCTCCGGCACTACAAGTCCCAGGGTGCTCCACCGGCGACAAAGCCACCCGACTCCGGTCGTGTGGCTCTAGTGAGGCTCTTCTCTTGATGGCCCAGCACGTCCGCACTGCCTGCCGATCCAGAATTAAAGCGGCAGGTTCGTGCTTCCTCGCATCCCAAGAACCGAGAACAGCTCCGTGAAGCACCCCTACACTAAGAAGTGGCGTCCGTAGCTCCGTTGCTGTACCGGATCCCCTCCCCTACCCCGCCGAACTGTCCCGCCTTCTAACCTCGCGTCGCCGGTCTTCCGCGCCTGCGTAGTACATCTCCAGCGCGCACGCCGGTGGCCACGCCCCTCGCGTTTTGCCACACCCTCAAAGGCTCCGCCCTTGCCGCTTGAATCCCACCCCTCTAGCTGCGGGACCCCGAACCCTAATGATCCTGCAACAGCCCCTGGAGCGAGGCCCCCCGGGTCGGGCCCCGCACGACCCACGGGCCACCTCCGGGGCAAATCGAGGCCTGGACGCCAGGTGCGTATGAGGTCCCCGGGGGCCCGACTAATAATAGTGCCGTGGCTGAGGGACCGAAGGCTGGTCTGCAGGATGGTCCTGGAGGGTAGGGAGAGGTGTGGCGGTGCGGCAAACTGCTGCGCATGGGGGTTGTATTGAGGCCGCCCTGAGGCTGGGAAGCCAAGGTCGAGATTTCCGAGGTCGGCTGGTGAATGGCCTGGGAGGGAGAGGTGGCTGACGCGACACTGAGACAAAACTGACTGAGGCGGGGAGGGGTTTGTCCTGGCTCACTCTGCAGGCTCAAGTGGACAGATCTTCGGTTAGGGGCAAAGAATGTGGGGTGTGCCTGGCTCTTTTCCCCAGCTCCCCTCTCCAAAGGAGCTGTGCCCATAAGCACCAAGAGACCTCTGGAGGAGCAGTGACTGGGGAGCCGATAGGGCTCACACCAAGATGTCCCCTCTGATCCTCATGAGTTTGCTTCCCCTCTGAACATCCCTGCCTGTCTTCCTCTCCATCTTTTTTCCAGGGATCCCTTGCACAAGCAGTTCCTGTCCGAGGACAACATGGCCACCCACTTCTCCCGACTCAGCCTACATAACGACCACCCCTACTGCAGCCCCCCCATGACTTTCCCCCAAGCCCTGCCACCACTCAGGTAGGCACCTCCACTGGCAAGGCCTTCTAGAGAATCATATGCGGTCCTCATAACCACTCCTCATGTTCTGCCTCATCATGCTATTTTTAGCTTCTAACCAACTTATGTGCTGTTTCCCATCTTTGGCTCCTGGGGACCTGGACTTGGTGGGAGGTAGCTCAGCCAGGACAGCCTTCTGCCCCATGCCTTAACTGTCCAATTCTTCTTCCAGGAACCCTTGCTCAGAGTTGCTTCTCTGGCGCTATCCTGGGAGCCTGATCCCTGAGGCCCTCAGGCTGTTGAGGCTGGGGGATACCCCCAACCCCTACTATCCTGCAACCCCAACTGAGGACATCATGGAGCTCTGAGTGCTGGAGACAGTGCCCCTCCCACCTTGTCCCGACTACAGAGAAGACAGCAACCCCCAAGAAGGGATGAGGTCTTCTCTGAACTCAGTGGAGCCTGAGGATGGGAGGGGCAGCAGCTTGGGAAGGGAAGGTATCACCCCATTAGTGAATAAAGATTTCTGAACAGCTGAAGGTTTCTCAGGTCTTTGGGGAGGGTGGGGGTACTGGATGCTGGGGGTTTCTCCTCAAAATCTTCCCTGGAAAACGGTGAGGGCAAGCCAGGTCCTGGCAGGCTGGACTCCAGGCATTGAGAATGTATGAGTCAGAGCCTCACCCCCGCCCCCGCGGTGGCCGACTGACTCACTCCCTTCCTCCAGCTCAGGGGAATCAAGCTGGTAATCAGGCCATACTCCAAACCATTTCAAGTTAGAGATTCTTTTATTAATAAATTCTCCCTCCCCTCCAAACTTTCTCCCCAAAATAAATATCTCCTCTCCCACCCCTTGGGGGACTGGGGGGGATGTCTATATGTTAGGGCCAGCCCTCCCAGAGGGCCAGCCCCCTAGTGTTAAAAACAGGTCTCTAACCCATCAGAGTGGATGGGATCTAGTGTTGTGTCTGCTCCTCAAGTCAGCCAGACCTCCTGGACTTAGGGTGAGAGGCCCCTTTGTGCAAATACTGCAGTTTCTTAGTCATTTCGAGTTGCTTTGTGAGCCAGATGAGAGCCTCATGCTGGCCTCATCCTGGAGCCAGAGACAGGGCACTCAGACACCTTGGAGGGCTCCCCTGAATCCCGGGCCCAGTCCTTGGAGGTGAATCATCACCTCACCCCACCCCCTTGTGGTTGGAAGAGTCTGGCTCGGTTGTGTCTGGAAAACCAGTCTGGCTCCAGATGAATGAATGAACGATGAGTGGGCACCAGCACGGGGAGTTCATCACTGGATCAATGCCACACCTGGACAGCCCTCTCCACCAGTTTCCTCTATGGGGGCTGCAAGATAAGAGGTGGGGTCGTCAAGAGCAGGAGACAGACGTGGAGAAGTGGCGGGGGAGATGGGAGGAGTTCACTTACTGGTAAACTTTTCTCTCCTGCGGCACCGTCTCCAGACCAGGAAACCAGAAAGCAGGGCCAGCACTAGAACCAGGCTCAGAGCGCCCCCCAGGATGGGCCAAAGCAGCCGGAAGCGGGCAGGAGGTGCCGCGGCGCCTAGGAGCCAGACCTCAAGTCAGACCTGGCTCTTGAGGCACCAGTCCGCCCCCAAAGGGGTCTCAGACTTGCCCCATGTCCTGGTAGAGGCCCCTTCCTCCGTCAGTTTTCTCTGATTTCCTAGAGCCGAAGCCCTCTTCTCTGCCCCAGCACCCCTCTCCCCACTTCTGGAGTCCGCGGGCCACCGGTCCCTACTCACATCCCAAGCAGAAGTCGCTGTGTGGTCGCGCGGGACAGGACGCGCAGTCCATGCACTTGTCCAAGTCCGCGCTCCAGGAGCTGCCGCTAGAACAGGGGGCGGTGCCTGGGGAGGGGGCCACAGGTCAGGAGCTGGGGGCGGGGCGCAGCTATTCTGGGGGCTGAGGTCAGGGTCAGTCCGCTCGAATATCGTGAGTCACCGGCGCCCTCCCCCCAGCATTCCTCACAGGTGACCGCACCGCCTGACCGAGGCGCGGCAGTGCGGGGAGGGGGGGGGCGTATCGCGGGACTTGAGGGGGGGGTAGGTCCCCACAACCCCCTCCGTCAACGGGTGACTCACGCCTGGGCACCGGGCCCGACCCCGGTCCCTCCTCCCGCATAGCTGGGCACTGAAGTCACCGGATGGAAGGGGGCACCGCACATGGTATAGAGGGCAAAGACCCCCGGTTCCCCTCCGAGACTCAGATCCCGGGGCCCGGGCAGACCCCATAAAGACCACGATGAGGGCGTGCCCCCTTCCCAGACCAAACATCCGGCCCCTCAAACTTACTTTCTCTACTTCTGGTTCGGTCTTTTGGGACCGAAGACCCCACACCCCAACTGGACAGGTTGAGAAACTGAAGTCTGGATTGTGGATGATGCTTGGTTTGGAAATGGGACCTTTCCCACAGCGAGTACGCTGTCTGAAGACCACCTGATCCTAGATCACCACGTCTGCTTGGTCGCGGGTTTCACTAGATCCTCCAGGCACCCAAACCCGGTCCCTGACCCCGAGTCTGAGGCTCTCTGGCCTCTTTACTCCACATACCTGGTGCCTGCTCCCCGGCCGCAGCGCGCATCAGCACCAGTCCGAACCCCAGCATGAGGAGCTGGGGCAAAGGCCGCCGCAAGCTGGGAGACATGGTGGCGCGTCCCGCGGCAGCCGCCGTCTGCTACCCGCAGCCGGCAGGCCAAGACTCAGGACTGCTGCCCCGCCCCCGCCCCCGCCTTCCGGGGCGGAGCCCTAGCTTCTAACCGCCCCTGCATCCGCCGAGCTCCGCTTCGCCTTGCCAAGTGCAGCCCGCTAAGTTCTTTCATTCATTCATTCAACAAACCGTCCCCATGCATTTCTAGAACCGGGTACCTACCCGGTCGTGCGCTCTGCGCGCTTCAGTCTGGAGGTGAGGGGCAGGGGTAATCTGCTATAAGACATAACTGCGTAATTTTTTTCTCACTTCTTAACTCTAAGTAAATTTTATCTATCATCTATCTATCTGTCTGTCTACCTATTTATTTTGGAACCCAGAGCTTCGCACATACTAGGCAAGCACTTATTTATTTATTTAGGAACCCAGAGCCTCGAATGTACGTACTATACTGTTTGTTTACTTATTTATTTATTTACTTATTTGTTTATTATTTTGGAACCTAGAGCCTGCACGTACTAGGCGTACTAGGCAGCACTCTACCACTGAGCTGTCTATCCACACAATCTTTATGTTCACTTGTTTTGTTTGATTCTTGGTTTTTTGAGACGGGTCTTATACTGATCCCAGGTTTGCCTCAACTCGAAAGTTTTGCTTCAACTTCCTAAGCGCTGAGGTGGCTTACGGGCGCCACCATGCGGGTTTCTCTTTGTTGCTGCTTTTTGTTTGTCTTTTGAAACTGTCTCGTTAACATAGCTCGCGCCAATCTGGATCTCTGGAATCTCAGGTCTCAGCCTCTTGAGTGGCTGGTATTTCAAAGTAACTACTGGAGCGCGCCTGCTTCTTCCTTAAGGGACTAAGGGGTACAACAAAAACAACATAAACAGCCGGGTGTGGTGGCGCACGCCTTTAGTCCAAGCACTCGGGACCCAGAGGCAGGCGGATCTCTGAGTTCAAGGCTAGCGTGGGTCTACAGAGTGAGTTCCAGAACAGCTGGGGCTACAGGGAGACCCTGTCTCAAAAAGACAAAAAAAAAAAAAAAAAAAAAAAAAAAAAAAAAAAAAAAAAACCAACAACATAAAGGGCCGGGCGAGATGGCACAGCGGGTACCTGCTGCCAAGCCTGACGACGCGAGTTCGAGCCCCGGGCCCCACAGGATGGAAGAGAAAAGGAACAACTTCTGCAAATTGTCCTGACTTCCACTCGCGCGCTGTAGCACGAATGCAAACACACAAAAATGTGTACATTAGGTCTTAGGACGGACTTACATAGTAAGATGTAGATTTATTTCCACTTCGCAAAGTAGGAAACTGAGGCTACGGATTCCGGGTCACAGCCCTAGCAAGCCAGCTAGGGTCCCGGTGCCCACCCGGCAGGTGCGGCCACCTGAAACTCAAGGGCCTCTAAGGACCAGATGGCAGCAGACGCCGCAGGGGTCTCTGCCCCTCCCCTAGGGAGGTGATCCTTTAACGTCATTGCGCCTTTAAGGTTTCCGCCCGCCCCCCCCCCCGCCCCCCCCCCCCTCCCCCCAGCGGGCCTCCGG